TGTTTACTTCTACAGAATAACTGCTGACTTTACAGGAAAACTTGCACAGTTTCAACATGTTTACTTCTACAGAATAACTGCTGACTTTACAGGAAAACTTGCACAGTTTCAACATGTTTACTTCTACAGAATAACTGCTGACTTTACAGGAAAACTTGCACATTTTCAACATGTTTACTTCTATAGAATAACTGCTGACTTTACAGAAGAACTTGCACAGTTTCAACATGTTTACTTCTACAGAATAACTGCTGATTTTACAGAAGAACTTGCACAGTTTCAACATGTTTACTTCTACAGAATAACTGCTGACTTTACAGGAAAACTTGCACACTGTAAAGTCAGCAGTTATTCTGTAGAAGTAAACATGTTGAAAAAATTCACACAACTGACAAAACCCCCTATTGGAAAGCAATGGGACATTCCAAATTTCCAATCGATCTGTTGTCAGGTGCTCTTTGGCAACCTCCCCAAACAACGAGCTAATACACAGTGTGGTATTAACAGGAAGCCACATGGCATATCACCCTGAGAACTTTGCGGGAAAAGTCCGCATAGATCTTCGGCAAGCACACATTGTGTATTAGCTCTGTGCATAGGATACTGTTATCAAACGTTTACTAATGTGCAGAAATGGATGTGTGGAGCATTATTTTTTAACCTTTATTTCGTTCGGTGTATCAACTTATTTAAATAAATGAGAAACAGAAAGAGATTGTTTTAACTGATATTTTATTCTATGGTGAAAAATGTTTCATATCTTGTATGGAAATAAAATGGAAAAGTACAGGGTCATGATTGTGAGCATACTCCCAAATCAGAAGATTGTTGTTGTGAATAAAGTGGTCTGGGGGGGCGGGGGTATTATTTATAATTTCTTGGCAGTCGATTTCCCGATCACGGAAGATCGAGAAATTCTACTGATACCGACTGCTGAACCAATTATCGGTAAAACACTGCATAGTATGAAATCATCAATATTAAATAAACACAAAATGACAGGAATAATAATACAATTATTATGATCGTCTGTGATATATTTTCCACATCTGTTTCATTACTTAACTTCACCAGACATAGTAAGACAGGCTAGCCATGGGCTGCTACCATCCCTGGGGTTAAGGATGAGCTACCTAATATCTTTGGACTACTACTCTCTTTACCAGCCAGCTCTGCTGAGGCAGAAAGAGGATTCAGCAAGATGAAGATGATGAAGACCAATTTGAGATCTTGTCTGGAAGCTGACAGGATCACTGATCAACTTCTGGTCATACTCCACTCACCTTCAATAAGTGACTTTGATCCCATAACAGCTATCCATCTTTGGAACTCAGGATTACTTCATATAAGGAGACCAAATGCTAGCAGGGTCCAGATTAAGAAGCGGATGCAGGAGAATGACGAACAAGGGGATGAAGGAAGAATCTAAGAAATGGATGTTCGGACATCGTCAGATACTGACACTGATGCATACTAGATTTCCTTTCATTATTTAATTTGTTTAGGAAAGGACACTAACTTATGTTTAACTCATCACAATATAAGCCATTTTAGACCTGTTTTACAGATGTTGCTAATTTGAGGATTTTGCTTATTACAAATTCAAATTTATGAACGACTAATGATCAGATGTTTCAGGATATGAAACAACTGATTGTTATAAAGTTAATGGTAATGTAAATTGTATGATTTTTTCATCTTTCCATGAAAAGTGTTTGACCTTTTATTGACAAATGTGTCAGCTAGATGGTAATGGGTTATATGGGAACAAGAATAGATTACACTGATACTGATGCAAAGATTTTTTTTCATTATTTATTTTGATTATTAAAGGACACTTCTTTAAAGGGGAACAAAAAGTTATGCCATTCTTTAGACCGAAATTAAAGATCATATATGAAACAAAAAATCATTGAAGTTGTCTGAAAAAAATGAAATAGTTTGACTTCTGTTTTTTTCATGAAATACGAGTTCACAACAAAGTAAGTTGAGATATGTTGATATCTTTAGTTTTTCTTTCAATTTACATAACATCTGTTATTTCATTCAGTGATTTTTCTGATAACCCGGCTGGATCCCTAAACAAAAAAGTTAAGCATGAGCCCTGGTTATTCTGTAGAAGTAAACATGTTGAAACTGTGCAAGTTTTCCTTTTGTAACTATATGTATATACTTTTGTTTTTTGTGGCAGGTCTTTTGATTTAAATTCTCCCAGGGAAACTTCGGGAGACAACTGGGGGCATTCAGAAGCAGTTGGTTCTCTTGACTCCATTTGTTGTGGAAAATTATAGGTTTATATTGTTTGTGGGTTGGTTTTACTTGAAAACAATGGCTATTATCAGAATTATGGTCCTTTAGGGTGGTGGGGATCTAAAAATCCAATGTCTAGACTTGGCTGTGGGAGGGAAACAGGAGTACCCTGAGAAAATCCCCTTTCACTGATCAGGCACGGAATAACCTACCTGACCAGTGACCGGTTAAACTAGAGTGATATTGAGGCAGCATGAAGAAGAAGGGAGTGATAGGTGTGGGAGTTGTTATTGGTTGGCTAGTGGAGTAGGAGTTTTTTTCCTGGGTAGGAGGTAGTTGAAGGATTTTAGTTATCAGGGTGTGGTTCTATCTTGGTTCGAGTCTTTGTCTTTGCTGGTGAAGTGGTCACAGACGAAGAAGTTAGAGGAGGGATACGTATCAACCTTGTGTGGCAATGGAGAGTCGGCAGAGATATCGATCTGTAGGTGGGCTAGCAAATCAGATGGGAGGCAGTCAGTGGAACGTTCGGAAAGGAAGGAGGGCAGGAAGGGACCATTTACCGCTTTCATCTTATAGTGACATGTGTTGTTCCATAGCTGTCCGATAGGTTAGTTATTCCATTTAATCATTTAACAGTACTGTTATTTATGAATATGCATAATTCCAAGAAGTTACCTTAAAAATAGTTGTGGCTCAACAAATGTAACTGCCAATTGGTTGGATTGTTTTGATTGAGAAAAACTAGATATTTTGGGTTTTTGAGAAGGAAGCAAATGATTAAAAAACAAGAATCATGAAGGTGGGAAACTTTCGTAACCGACTGCCCATTGCACCTGTAACTAACAGGAGAGTGTATACATGTTTACCGACAATAAAAGCTTATATTTCACGATTTTAGACAAATGTCAAAAGTGGCACAGTATAAGTGCTGAGATTTGAAACACATTCGAAGAAAGCATGTGTGTCGAGCTGAGAGGTGATAATAACGCTTTTTTTTTTCTTCTTTTTTTAAGGTTGGAAATTTGATCATTATATACACAATAAAGATACAATTAAAAAAAACTATTGGCAAGCAGCTTGAAGATTCCTCTCTTTACAAGTGAAAACTTTCAAACACCGACACTACATCTGATCTTTGGTTGGAATACTTCATTTGTTTTAGAAAATGCTTTAGTT